TGATATGTGGTGTCTGTTTGTTAGTAGTAAACAACCCTAACAGAGGCTTATGGTCTGTATAGACCGTGAAACGGTGGCCATATAAGAAATCATGAAATTTCTTTATGCCAGCCACTATGGCCAAGGCTTCTCTGTCAATCTGAGTGTAATTCTCTGCAGATGACAGAATCCTTGAATAATAGGCCACAGGGACTTGTGTCCCATCAGCCTTCAGATGGCTAAGTACTGCTTCTACCCCATAAGGAGATGCATCACATGCGATGCAAATAGGCAGTTGCTCATTGAAATGCGCTAAAACAGCATTAGAAGTGAGCAAGGCCTTAACCTCATTGAAACTCTTGTCATGGACTTTAGTCCACTGCCAAGGAGCCTGCTTGTCTAAAAGCCTATGTAACAGCTCTGCCACTGCAGCTTTGTGTGGGAGAATTGCATGGTAAAAATTTAAGAGCCCCAAGAAGGCTTGCAGCTCACTCTTGGACTTGGGGCTTGGGGCCTGTTGAATAGTTTGTAGTTTAGCTTCAGCAGGGTGAATGCCTTGGGCATCAATCCTGAAACCTAAGAAGTCAGTAGAAGTAACTCCTATCTTGCATTTATCCTGCTTTAGCTTAAGGCCTGCCTTTCGAAAATGAAGCAAGACAGCCCTTAATCTTTCTGCTAAATTTTGAGATGACTCCCCAGCAATGAGGACGTCATCGAAATACGGACAGACCCCAGGAATACCTTGAAGTGTGCTCTCAATGACACTTTGGAATATGCCAGGGGCTACATTGACCCCAAATTGCACTCTCTTGACCTTGAATGCCCCCCTGTGAGTTACAATAGTCTGGGCCTCTGCAGCTGCCTCATCAACAGGTAGCTGCTGATAGGCCTGTGCCAGGTCAAGTTTTGCAAAAATGCGCCCCCCCTTGAGGGAGGCCAGGATGTGGCTTACAACAGGGACTGGATAAGCATGCTGTTGCAATGCCTTATTCAGTGTACACTTGTAGTCTGCACATATACATATTTCCCCTTTAGCCTTTAGAGGTGTTACTATGGAAGTTTCCCATAGAGTGGAATCCACAGGTTCTAAAATGCCCTGCTGGAGAAATTTGTCCAGTTCAGCATCTATCTTACCTTTGAGGGCAAAACGTACCCTCCTAGGTTTAACCCTGATGGGCGTGATGGTTGGGTCTAACCGTAGCAAAATGGGAGGCCCCTTATAGGATCCTAGCTCTGAACTAAACACATCTGCAAACTCCTTGTAAACCTCTGCAAGGCCCAGCGTTTGCAAGCTGTGCAGCCCAGTTACCTGGATTCCCAGAGCCTTGAACCAATCGAGTCCAATAAGACTCGTACGATCACCCCCAACAACCACCACATCTAGGGAACCTCAAAAATCCTTATACTGTACCTTAAGGATGGCCTCCCCCTTAACACACACCATAGAATTTTGAAAGTCAGTGATTCGATGGCCTGAGTTTAACTCAAAGGCCACTACTGCTGCAAATCCTTTTAAAGGAATTAATTTAAATAATGGAAAGAGCGGACCCTGTGTCCAACTCCATCAGTAAGGGAACCCCTTGCAACCTTACGTTAATGGAAAGTTTCTTCTTAAGGGGCTTGTGTATCCCTGTTCTCAAAATACTCCTGCGCGATGCACAGAACCCCACCCTATGCTGGCTGGGGAGCCTGGTACCTTTCAGACGCAATTCTTCACGAGGTAGGACCTTCTGGTGACCCAAACAGATGGATGTGATGTGGCCTTGCTTGCCACACGCTCTGCAAATGGTGGAGCAAAACCTGCAGTCAGCTCGCTTGTGGCGTCCTCCGCATCTGAAGCATTGAAGAGATGTTAGGGCCTTGTCCAGACATTCCTTCTGCCTCTTTCCAGCTGGCTGGTGAAGCCTATCCACCTCTTCTTCAGGATCTGCTTCCAATTCTTCTTGAGAGTCCTCTTGATGGACTGTAGCTGTTTCTGGAGGGTCCTGATGGGCCGTAAGGCCTTCACAGCCCCACCTGCTGCTTCCTCAGCTGTTACCTCTTGTAGGGCATCTTGGAAAGAGACATCTTCTTTTGCAAAAATCTTCTGCTGTAATTCTCTGCTCCTCAAACCGCATATAAAGTGATCTTGCAGCCTCTCTTCCAGATCCTTGAACTCACAAGGTCTGGCTGCTTGCCTTAAGGCCGCAATAAAGTCCGCAGCAGATTCACCCAGCCTCTGGTCTCTCTGCTCGAATGCGTGCCTCCAAGCAATGATGGATAACTTTGGCTGGAAGTGTTCCTTCAACATTTTCTTTAAGTCAGCATATGTTACTGACTCCAGAGGTGCAGGGGCCACCAGATTTTCTGCGATGTTAAAAACGTCTTGTCCACAGACACACAAAAGAGTTGCTGCCTTCAGGCCATCTTCTCTTATCTGATTTACTCTGAATAATTCTCAACCTGTGCTACGTATGAAGTCCATCTCTCAAGGTGTGAGACATCAAAATCAGATAAGTGGCCAATCTTCGCCATCCTCTAGTTTACAACCTTCACCACTCGCTCCTCTGCAAACTTCTATTGGGGGAAAGGGTCTTTTAGCCGAGCTTACCCTCCAGCGATAATATACTGGCAGGCTGGGACGCTGATTCAGATGCCGTCTTCCCCTCTTCAGGACTTCCTGGGTGAGTCCTTAAAACTTTTTTTTTCTTCAGCTTGCAAAGGATCCCACCTTCGTTGCCAGTGTTGTGTTCTCCATTCGCGTGCGAATGATGAAGATGCACGGTGACAACTAATCGATGCTTTATTCTCCTACTCCAACTCCAAACAAAAAGCAAAAGGCACGTAGGCCTTTTTATAGGGCTTGAGCCCCGGACAGAGTGAACCAATAAGACGGGACCATTGCAACAATTCTGGGCCTGCTGAGTTTCCTCATCAAGCCCAGGAAACAACATTAACCATCAGAGCTTCTACAGCATAGAAAATAAAAGAGTTCCAGGATTCAGTGTGTGTAGGAGAAAGGTAGGAGAAATAACAGTTCCTATTCATATGTTTACACCTAGGGGGGTTGTGGGTTTTTCTCTACCACAACCCCTGGAAATAAGTTATTGACCATTTGTTCCAAATGGGTTTTTTTTTTTTGCAACCAACTCTTATCTTTATTTCTATATGCCATTTTATTTAATTGGTCCACTAGGATCTAAATATATCTTATATAAGATCATTCCCCACCCCTTTTCCTTTATTTGCCTTTCATGGCTATTTAAGCCCTTTCACTTCCAGTTATTTTTCTTTATACTCAAGACCTTCATCTAGATGGGGTTTTTTTGTTTTTGTTTTACCTGATGTCATGTGGCATTTTAGCAACTCTCAGTACAAGAAAGCTATAAATAATCACTGTGTCATATGACACTAAATTTCATTCATGCATTTCCATAGAAAAAGGTTTCATTCCAGCATTCTTGTCTTCTTTTTTCCCTTACAGTTTCCTCCACTTTTTGTGGAACTTCAGAGCAATCAGGGTGGCCAGGAAGATACTTAGTATCTGATGGATAACTGATGATTTGGAGCCAAAACTTAAGAACTCCATCACATTGGTTCTACTTTTTTAAAATTTGCTCCATTATCCTGAATTTCAAATTGATCAGAAGAGTGGGAGAAAGACCACTTCCTCAAGAAGTTTGATTCTATCAGTTTGGATTGGAATCAAGAGGAAAGTTTATTTTCCCACAAACATTGAATAAAGGCATTTCACTCAACAATGCTCAGACAACCATAGTTATTGTAATACATCTTTGCTTAATTTATTTTAAACTTGTTTATTTTAAACTTCTTACAGAGGAATTTTTTTTTAATTCCATCATCACATGATTACCAGGCTATCTATGTGCATGTGCACACAAACAAGTTAGCCAACTGAGGATTTCATATCCATGAAAATTGTCTCTTAATAAAACTGTCTGTTGGTTGCTCCACCAGTTTCTTTTTGAAGAATCTTTACCTCTTTTTAATCTAAGCTAGTTACCTCTTTTTATCTAAGTTACTTCCATTTTTATACTTACTGAAGTGATTATGAAACAGAAACATATTTTTCTTTGAATATATTATTTGGATGAAGTGGTGACACAACAGTAGTACTAGTAGGTAATGTTTTAATTAATGAAGTCTCTGAGCTAAAAAATATTCTTTCTCATCTTCTCAGAAGTACCAATTAACTTCTCATTACAAAGGCAAAGAATTTTCTCTCAAAATATTACTTTATGTCAAGTAGTCAAGTACCCACATTAATGGATGGAACAGTACTGCCTTGGGCAAGGAATAGTTTTAAAGCCACAGAACTAGGTCCACATGATGAAATGGGAATTTTGTCATGCATTTTGAAATGGGCATTTTAAAATGAGTAAAGAATTCTAGTTAATTCTAGTTAATTGTGGTGTATTATGAAAGCCCTGGATGGGAGATTAAGAAGTGAATATGCATTTGTTGTTTTAACTTAAAGAGTACTGGTTGTTTCAGCTATATGACATTCTAGACAAAAGGAATATCTTACATAACAAATATAGCAACATTCTAGGGCCCTTCAATTTTTTACCAATTTATTATGAAATAAGATCTCATGGGTCATCAAAATATACAAATAATAAGGATTAACACTAAATGACTGTCTGTAGTAGTAAACTTTCATGTGCTCAGTTATTTTCTGAGGCACACCAAGATCCTTATAATCTGTTCTTGGGAATCTGGTGATAAATATATTTTCTATAACTATTTGAGCTATAAATCTTCATTTGTTCATCTAATGCTAGCATTGATGTGAATTCACGTACCCCAGTGGCCACAACAATGTGTGTGTGTATATATATGTGGTATATATTGTCCTGTTGCATTGGATGTAATCCACATGTGGAAACTTAGATATTTTTAAGTAATAGGAACACATACGCTGAACTCAGTATAAATCATCTGTGACAGAGCAGTCATATGTATCAGTTCAAATGCAAGGATGGCTACCCTATTTTGTCATGGTTTTTTTTTCTCTACAGATTGTATTCCGGAAGATCAGTGATGTAAAACGAGAAGAAGAAGAGAGAATGAAAAGGAAGAATGAAGCCCCTTTGGTCCTGCCACCTGATCATCCAGTCCGTCGGCTTTTCCAAAGATTTCGGCAGCAGAAGGAGGCCCGACTAGCTGCAGAAAGAGGAGGCAGAGAAGACCTCGATGTTGAAAAGGGCAACATTTTAGGAGACCACTCTTCCCACACAGTTGTCAAAGCCAGCATTGTCACAGTAAGGGAAAGCCCTGCAACTCCAGTTGCCTACCAGTCTGCTTCAACATCAGGTATATCTGATCAGGCCAGACTACAAGCTCCAGTTTCAGACTATGTTGGCGGGAAAGCAGCAGGAGATTATCCAAAGCGTAAAGGCTGGGCAAAATTCAAAGATGCTTGTGCCAAAGGAGAGGACTGGAACAAAGTTTCCAAAGCTGAGTCCATGGAAACATTGCCAGAAAGAACAAAAGCAACAGGTGAAGCTACTTTGAAGAAGACAGACTCTTGTGACAGTGGCATCACAAAAAGCGACCTGCGCTTGGACAATGTAGGAGAAACACGAAGTCCTCAGGATCGAAGTCCCATCCTTGCAGAAGTCAAACATACTTTCTACCCTATCCCTGAACAGACTCTCCAGGCAACTATGCTGGAAGTGAAACATGAATTGAAGGAGGACATCAAAGCTTTAAACACAAAAATGACCAATATAGAAAAACAGCTTGCTGAGATACTAAGGATATTAGCCTCTCGAAGAAGCTCTCAGACACCACAGGAGCTCTATGAAATATCAAGACCCCAATCTCCAGAATCAGAAAAAGATATGTTTGGAGCAAGCTGAGTGGTTCTTTAAACAGGAGTGATTTGAATATCCCTGAAACTCTATCCAACACCCAATTAATGTGTTTAAGGAAACAGAACATTTTTTTTTTGATGATCATGATTTGAGGGGCCAGCCTGTTAACCATGTCCCCTCTCTCTTAATGGTACAGTAACAAGAATTGCAACCTCATGTCAAGATGGCAGCTGACTCTGAAGTCTTTTTGACAGCAAGGGTACAGTTTATAATGTTTTTCCTACTTCATTCATGCATCTTTTTCCACTTAATGTTATTTTTGACAAAAACGTAACTAGAGAACTGAAGTTTCAAGCATTAGCTTCATATATTTAGCAAGTTTGTATAATCTCTTCACATGGAATGTGTGAGACCCAATTCTCCCTGCTGATAAGATAATATCTACAGAAGGGCTCCACAAAAAAACAAAGACTTAGTTTGTGAAAACTTTGATCCTTATTGAGTGGGAAGATTCATGTGGCTCCCTCATGTGAGATGTTATTGTCTATGTGTTGTGGAAGAGATTTCCTCCACTCCTCTTTAAAAATATTTAGTCTAAGGCAATTGGACCAGGGAAGTTCAACTGTGTTCTTTGCAAGCTTCAGGTTGCAAAATTGTCTACATTTTTTTTATTTGTTGGTGGGTAGCTAAATAAGTTCTTGTCTGGTGAAATGAACTTATTTTGCCTCCCCTCCCCCTTCATCAGAAATTTTAGGGATTCCTGTTATAGTAATCAAGAAAAGACCCAGAAAGAGATGACATTTATGGAATTTGTCATCAAGAAATATAGTTTTTAATTTCAGCTATGATTCATAGCAGGCGTTATAACTTACCAAATAGTTGGTAAGTATCTGTATCTCTTTATAAAAATAGAATAATAATAGATCAAGGAGCTCAGCTGTCCAAAGTATTGAAGCTTTTTCAAAGAAAAACTTCTACCTAGAGTGGTATTAATGACAAGAAAAATGGCCTTCTCGCCCACACTAAATATTTATCACATTTTGTACTTACCTCATTTTTTTAAAAAAAAAAAACCCAACCCTACTCATTTTATCATTGAGTTTCTTTTCAGCATTGTAAACACCAAAGGATATTGAAATATTTATACATTAGAAGCAATGGTGCATTAATAACAAACCATTTCAATGTATTTTTTCATTGTAATGGTCTCCAGTACCTCATGAAGAAGTGTTGTAGTATTTATTTTTATTCTAAAAGCTCTGATTACTCTCTGATCTTTTCTTAAAATAATCTGATTAGGGCATGAATGAAACATAATGGGGAAGATGTGCAAGGGTTCTAATACTGTCCCACCAAGGAGAAACAGTATCTGCTTGACTAAGACAGTATGGTCTATGATTCAGCAAGATTTTTCTTAGATTTCATAATTATTTTTATAATCAGAATGTGATTATACTAAACCACAAGTGGTTTATATATACACCCATTATGATTTAATATTATGAAAAAAATAATCCACAGTGATTTATTTAGTAAGTTATATTTTAAAATTCCTGGTGTAGCCTTGTTGGATGTAAGGAAAAATCATAGATCAGTGGTTGTTGAGATGAATAACTGATCTGTCATCTCTAGAATATTGTTAGATAATTTCAAAGCATATGAAGGAACCAACTGATGCAAATTATAGTATTGATTTTTAAGAGCAGGGGTAGTACACAATTGGAGCAAGCATAGTACTGAAATAGTGTGTCTTGAGATATTTAATCCTGCAGCAATTGCAGGAAGAAGGATAACATAGCTATAGCTAATTAAGACCCATTGCTCCAATTTCTGTGCCAGCTGGGTTTATTTACCTCTTTTTACCTTTTTTCCCCTCTTTTCTATACACTTCTTTTGGAATGGTCCATGGACTGTTGGACACAACTTCCTTAGTTTCCCGGATCAGATACTTAACACTGTATCTGCCTTTTCGTTCTAATTTTATGTGTTTATTTCTGCAGCCAGGAGATTCAGTCCAAAAATTGATCTCTCTAAATTAAACTGGGAATTTGTGTCTAAACATCCAGCACCTTTCATATAATTATGTCAGAGCAATTAAATTTAGTGACACTGTTGTATCATTAGGCAGGAACAAGGTTCCCATAAATACAACTTGATGGACTGCAGATATAGTGATGCCTCCCTGCTTACCATGGTTTGGAAACTAGGAGCCAAGTTTAAGATTTGGCTCTTTTACCCTCCCCTCTCTCCTTCTACAATGTAAAAGTCCTCTTCCTTTATCTGCCTACCTAAATCAGAGTTTAACAGCACATCTGCTTTGGCAGTAATCATGGGTTAGGCTAAATAGATAGTGTTGCCTAGTTAACATCAATGCATTTGTAATGTTAAACCATGGTCAAAACAAAAATGGGAGTTGGAGAAAGACTGAGGAGCAAAGAGCTTGATTGCTCAGGGATTTTTTTTTCTTTTTCAATTTTCAACTGTGTTTTGTAGAGTTTGTGCCAATTCTTTGCTTATGGAAGAGAGGTACAGAATCTTTTCTAGAGAAGAGACAAAAAATATATCTGATTTACAGGGAATCCTTGATTTACAACCAATCAATTAACAACTGTTCAAAGTTACAACAGCCCTAGAAGAAGTGATTTATGACCGATCCACTTAGGACTATTGCAGCATCCCCTTGGTCACATGGTCACGATTCAGGTGTGATCACCATTTGCAACCACCCCAGCTTTTGACAAGAAAAGTCAATGGGAAAGTTAGCAGGAAAGGTCACAAGTTATGGTCACATGATGCTTTGCTTAACAGCCACAGAAAAAAGGGAGAAGTCATATGACTTCTCACTTAATGACTGCACCACTTAACAAATGTTCCAGTCTCCATTGTGATTATAAGTTGAGGACTACCTGTATTCTACCTTTAGGTTTCATGAACATGAAAAGCAGGAACATATGACTACTTTTGGAAGTCCCTTCGAGCTGTACTTAAGATTTTCAGAGTTAACATCTTATCACAGCATTCATTTCTGTTGTGGAAAGTAATACTTCTGTATTCCATGCAGGCACATGAAGTTGATAATGATGGGGATCCCAACTGACCTGTGGCAAACTGCTTTTCTCATAACAGTAGCTGTTTATTCGTTGCTTTCTGACAATACTGATTTCCCTATATATTGACCAGATCAAATAAGATCTTGCCCTATGCCATCCTCCCCTCCCCTCTTCAAACCATTCTAATTTCTAAATTCCAGCCAAGATCTTTGTAGAAAGATTTAATGGTTGTTCAACTGCAAAGATGCAGACCGAGCTTTTGCTCTCATCTTCATAATTATTAGAGATGAAAATAGAAATTGATTCCAATTATACACAACACATAATGTTCAGTAGTTAGTAACTCTGTTAAAATCCTGGAAGTAACTGTGAAGAATGTTAGATTTTAAGATTAATCTCTTCTATATAGGATTATATTATGAAGTTAAATCATGAGGTTTTGTGCAAAAATTAGTGCCATTTTGCTGAATTTATTATACATGACATTTACATTGACAAGTTCTGGAAGTGGAGTGTTTAGTTGGCTAATCGATTAGAAAAAAACGAATTAAAGGCCTTTTAACATATTTTAAGGGGCATTTCCACTTAACATGACATATATATCAGGACATATATTCATATATATGTATGAATAGAGCTCTTTCTTCCTGGACCCTACTGTATCTGCTTCCTTTTTTCTATCCTGGCTTCTTGTATTTTCAGAGTATCATTTGGAAAAGTGTGGGGTCCAGCTGGAAGAAAGAATAAAAGTTTGTCCACTTCAGATAGAAGTTTCTTTTGGTTATATAATAAGAACTCTGGATCCCTGCTGATGTAGTTAGTTTGAATGTCTGTATTTACAAAAACTGTAAGTGGGAGCAGCCATCTTAGGAGACAAATTGCTCCTTCTCTCCAATCAGGTGAAGGTGCCATATTTCTCACAGCCTTAATGTGGTTCTGTAGGGAGCAACCAAAAATGAAGAAAATGGGCTTTAGGTTCTTCGTGGTCTCCAAGTTTGGATGTTTTTCTGCAGACCTTCTGCTGATAATGTTACCCAGCCTGGTAGCCAAATCTCTGCAGGACAACAACCAAATTCAGAGAATACCAAGAACACAAACATTTCAATCCTAAATTACATATTATGTGCATTATTGAAAATAGGTTTTCTTCTCTACAGATCATCATTTATCCATTTGCAAAATTATGTAGATTTAAATTTATTAATCTGTTAATATGAAGCCATATACAGTAATTAATAGTTTAAGGTGTGTACAACTGGGAAATGATTCTTGCACTATGTACCAAAGGTATACTGTAACTAGAAAAACCTTTAATCAAGATTTATTTTTGGGGGGTCTTGGCATATTTATAGCCATTTGTAAAAAAGGAAGGTGAGGAGGAGAAATATTTCATAGATTTATCATCTAAAGTAAGGTAGCTTAGAAATGTAATTAATATATTATTAAGACTTTATAGGTACTATGCGTTATTAAAAGTTATAGCCTTATATCTACTTTTAACTATTTGTGGTGTGTGTGTGTGTGTGTGTGTGTGTGTGTGTGTGTGTGAGAGAGAGAGAGAGAGAGAGAGAGAGAGAGAGTAATACTGTTTAGCATTGTGATTTTAAAAAATGATGCTGTAGTCTAATATCTGTGAAATAGAATGTCCTCTTATTGCAGGATGTTAATATAGCAAAAAAGGCTGCTGCTGTTGTTCAACACAATATTCTTTAAAAAAATATAAAAGATATAGTTTATAGGTGGCAAAATGGCATATTTTTAAGTGATCATTTTATTATTTGATAATCCATAGGTGGGGGTGGTCCACGATTGGTGCTCATTTTATTATCTTTTTGCTTTAAAATATTTAATTCTTTTCAGCCACAAAATGGTGCTTATTCCTGCTAAGACATATGGCCATCTCAAGCCCTGAGGTCCTTAAATCCAGAGTCTAATGTACTGAGTTGTACACTGATTATGGAAGGATTATGGTCACTGAGAGGGACGTTGCTAGATTATGATATACTATCATCAACGGCCATGTGAACTCTGGTTTGACTAATTGCATTTCTAGTTGGTTACCCAAAAGCAATTTCTAGGGCTAAATACCCTAATGGAAGGAACACTGTGGCTGTTCTGTTTTCTGAGCAGTGCATCCCCAAAAATTGTGAATTTCAAGCTCCAATCTATGAAGGGAATTTAAGTAGAGATTTTGGATTGAATTAAATCAGACCAATCCAGCTTAGGCTCCATTGGCCCCATATTATCTATATTTTGCCACCTGGTGACTTTTGAAAGTATAAGGATTGCAAAAGCAAGACATTGGCAGGCGGATATATTTTGTGGGAGGAGGTTAATTGATTCACCCACTTGTTTTGCAGAACAGCTCTAATAGGTAAAAAAAGACACTGAAATTCTAAGCATTTTTGGAGTCCAACTCTGAAGCCAGTTTGGTTCAGAAATACCTGACCACAGGCTTTGTCACATAGCAAGTCTATAAAGTCTGTAAACATTTTAAGGGGGGGGGGAGAATACCCAGTGGCAATGCCACATAAAGCCATTGCTGTTCTCCTTTGCATTCCTACTTCCCATTAATTCATCTGTGCCCTATAGGGGAAAATTGAATATCGCTAAGATCAACATAGATGATTTTTATGCACTGACAATGGTAACTGACAAGATATGAGAGCAGAATTTTTTTTTTGTGCTGTCCTGTGTCTTGGGATAAGGCTTATTTAACTTCATTGTAAGGATACGAGTACAAGTTTTTGGGAGTTCCTAAGTGTGACATAATGATATTTGAAAATTGTTCATCACAGGCCTGAAGACACTGGAGTCAAGAAGCTCCTAAGTCATGGGTTTATTCCATATGATGAAACCTTTCCCCCTCTCCCAAAAGTATGCATAATTTTTCCAACACAACTATAAGTAAAAGATGTTTTGCTCACTCTCATAGAGGCAGCCATCACTGATGTCCCAGATTACACAATTCTATTTGCAGAATATTGAGTGCCCTACACTAAATAAATAAATATGAGTGGGTTTTGTTTCCTGTCCCAAAGGTGCTTTTTCCAAAAGGCAACTGGACCTTCTTAGTTTTTACTTTGAAAACATTGTGCTTCTCATCCAAGAAGCTTCTTCAGGTCTTGGATGAGAAGGAAAACGTTCTCAAAGAAAAAAACCAAGACAGTCCATAAACATTTTGTTTCCTGCTTTTCTAACTTTTGCCTATATTCTGATGCTATTAATGTTTTCACCAATGCTATTATAAAAATATCACAAATTCCATTTACTCAGGGAAAAAGGGAAAAGCCTTGTAACACAGAATGCCTACAGCTTCAAACAAAAGGATTGATTGGGAATACTTGTTGATAAATCACCATAATGACAAAAATTTTAGCATGATGATGAAAAATGATGAAAAAGTCAGCAAAGAGAATTGATTTCAGATTGTTTCAATGGGTCTTTAAATATAATTAAGAGTTGGTCAAGCCCCATGTATATATGAGAGATTACTCATTAGTCCATTGTAAGTATTGACCCCTTTGGGAACAATATAGTGTATTTTCATGACTTACAGGATATTCATAATGGTAAAACATAAAATGGTAAAAAGATGCTTACTTGGACGAATTGTATTTTTGAAATTTTCTTGGAGATGTTCAGATAAAATACTTGATTTTTGTTGAAATTGCAGGCTTAGTTAAAAAAAAGTTCTATAAAATGATACAACTTCTTAGAATCATTTTTAAAAGCCCATTGTGTCTTTAGAATATATGTATTTGTATCTACAGTTATAATGTGCAATATTAAAAACACACTTCTTGCTTTAAATTTTATTTACAGCGCTGTCCTGATTTTCCAGAGAACATCCAGTTTAACTGCCACGAAGGTGATGTTCTACTCCTACAGTACTTCACTGTAAGGACTTGAAAGAGCTTTTTGCTGTGAACTTCCTGGCTGATTTTTGTTTTCTTGTTTTGAGTGGAGATTTTGGCATGAAGCCACATAACACATTATTTTTATATTAACAAATGAGTGTCATGGGATTTTGCAAGTGCGACACACACATACTGCTGTTAGTTTAGAACAGGTGCTTTTGGGCAAATAATTTCTGTCCATTAATGTATCAAAAACAAAGGCATTTTTCCTTCCATGGATAATTGTTTTCGTCCAGTTGAGTACAAGGATCAAATTTATTTCCAGTTCTGTTTAGGATTTCTCTTTGCTGGTATTGCTCAAATTTGTATTATAAATTGTGGATTACAATTATGCAGTTGGACTATGACCCAATACATTTCAACATGATTATAACATATGTGCAGATACCTGTATATCATTGAAGTGTACTATAAATCATTCAGCATAAATATAAAAGTGAATCATATTTAGCCACTGAAAGAAAAAAAACAGGGACTTCTGAAGTCCATCTTCAGGAGGAGATTAAAACGTCAATGTAGGATAGCAAGCATACAGCATGAGGCCAAAGAATTTCATCTTTACTGTTGTCATAAGTGAGCAATCCATTTACTCTGCAGTGAAGATCCAAGCTTGAAACGAGTTTGGGCTTTTGCACTTGCCTCATAATCTGATTGTTGATGTCCTTTTGTTGATATGGAAGGGAGCATGCATGATGCCATGAATATTGCATGTGGTATCAAGTGGACAGGAAATTATAAAAACTGTACACAAATCAGATGGCTTTGGTATTTAAAAGATCTGATTCTCCAAACTGGCATTCTAAAATGTTCCATATCAGACATATATCAAGATTGCAATAAGAAAGCTACCAAAAGAGTTTGTGTGTGTGTGTGCGTGTGCGTACACCAGAGCATCGGTTTTCTATAACCATGGATAAGGAAGACGATAGCCAGGTGAAACCTTTGCTTTCATCTAGAAATATCATTTACTGATTAGTTGAACAACAAAATAGTCAAGATAGATCCACACATGCAATATTGGTTCCTTTTGACCTTTGAGAACTAAATTTGAAGAGAATTGGAGTGCTCTGTCGGTGAGTGTACATGTCCTCCTGATCCTCTTTCTCCAAGCTCTTTGCTGCAAGGGCTACATCGTGATAGTTTGCATGTCAATGGGAATTGTAGGGTTTGTGTTGGCATATTAGGCAAAACTTTACAATATTGCTATCATTTCAGATAACTGCTAATAACATTTCTCTTCTTATTGTGTGGTTCTCTTCTTATTGTGTGGTTCAAACGCAAATTATTACTTGCAGTTTGTAAATGCTAATCCTTCCCCAACAATTAGGAACTGAAAAGATGACTGGAGAACCTGAAAAATTATGTGGATATAATGCACATTTGGGCTGTAATCTGAAATATGTTTAGCAATGGTTAAGACTTATTAAATTCTGTCTTCTGCAAAAACAGGCACAGGACTGAGCCCTAAATAGTTACTATGGAATCAAGACTATAGTCCTTAGGGCAGTGGTGGCAAACCTATGGCCCGGGTGCCAGAGGCGGCACTCAGAGCCCTCTCTGTGGGCACTCGCACTGTCGCCCCAGTCCTAGGCCTGCAGCTGGGTTTTATAAAACCTTTTAGCTTTAGGCCTCCGCCGTGTGCAAAAAAAAGGTCAATCAGTCAATTTCAACTTCTCGCAGAAAAAAAAAAAAGATCTTGCAAAGTTGGGATTGATTGATTGAACTTTTTAGTCCCGCCCAGTCTGCCATTACCACCATAGCCACGCCCACCCTATGGGCCACACCCACCCTATGGGCCACACCCACCCAGCACCCGACGATGCATAAGTGGGTTTTGGATTGCAGTTTGGGCACTCGATCTCTAAACGGTTCACCATCACTGCCTTAGGGCAATCCTTCAGTGCTAAAGCAAGTCTAGTAATGAAATGTTATGATGACCATGGATGCTCAATCTGCAAAAACTTATTACACAGGATCTGATCAGCATTTGCTAAACTTTAGTGCTAAATAGCACTTCAGATATTTAGATATTATTAATTATACTTATTTAAATATTTGTGGAAAAGTGTTACTTTACTGAAAATACAGCTTTCAGTGTGCATAGTAGATCAGTGGATGCAAGAGCAACCTTAAGTCTCATGAGTGAAAATGTCATTAGTAACTTCAAGAATGACCTGCTCTCCATCTTTTATTGAAATGTGCCAATATAATCAGGTGATATTCTGTGTTTTCCAATGAGAATTCTAATGTTCACAGCAGGACTTTCATGTTATGTTGATTCCCACTGTATTTCTGTAATACACAGTTGGTTTGTATACAGAACAACTATATCTCCATTGAGGGAGGATGCTTTCTCACTCTTAGAAGGCATCCCAAAGTGCTTATATTACTGCAGTTTCCACAAAACAGAGTCTCTCTGGGTGCTGCTGTTTTCAGGTATCCTTCTCTGCAGTCTTCCCCAACTCTCCATGTCCTCATGTTGCATTGGGGCTACAATGCATAGGATTGCCAGCAGTATAACAACTGCTTGGGGGTTGTCATTTAAACACATTTGGGGGGGGGGGAATGCTAAATTGAGGGACATCCATTCAATGCTGTATTTCCCTGCCTTTGAAGTCCCTACTTTTGTGCCACAGTGGCTAATATGTACTCAATGGAAGCCCATTAGGGAAGGCAGCTCCCAGGGGTTATAAGAGTAATGACCAGGCACCAACATTCAAAGTAAGAATAAGCATTTTGAAGGAAGGAAACCTCACTGGGATGTCTCCAAGCATTCAATGCAAGTTGTATAAGACACATTATCATTAGTACTATTTCTTTGATCTGTGGGTATTTTTTTTCCAAACTACTTTCTTGTGGTAATGATTTATTCAAGCTAAGTAGAAACCAAGCTTCCTGCAATAAAATATTTTAACATTTAGCCTTAAGAGACTTTCTGTAAGTGATAGAACTGAAACTGTGATGCTGTTGTGGACTCCCTTTATAATGTTTTGTACAGTGCAGATCACTACAGTGTTGCCTCAAGATATAACGCACTTTGATTAGATTTCTTAAAGTCTAATAAGAATAACTTGTCAGTAATTATATAGATTTTTCCACATACTGCCTTCGCACTAGTTTTGCTGTAGCCTTTACTCCTTTCCCCAAAGGGAAACACTTGATCACCTCATCATGGACACTTTCATAGATTGGGGACTTGTCTTGGTAGGTTGGTCAAAACCTCTCCCCCAACCCCATCATTTCATTATCTCTTGACCAAGTAGGTGTGTTTCTCTGCTGCTGTAATTGTCTTTTTCCACATGACTCCTGAATGTTGTACAAAATGATTTGTTGTGAGGAATCCCACCATATTATTGTAACTGGATTTGAGATGACCCATGCTGGGAGGATTTTTTTTAAGTGAAATTTCAAAGGGCAATGATCCCTTCCCCGACCATCTTCATATAATTCCTACTTAACTTTAAAATGAGCATTTTTTTAAAAAAAGAATAACCCTTTGAATAATAGGTAGTATGTTTCAATAATCTTGTATCAGGATGAACTGCTCTATGAAGTAATATGACTTTTCATAATGAATGTGTTATATTGTTGGTATCTTCATATGCTCTGTATTTTTTCCCTTGGCTGGAAACAGGTCAAACTCTTCCATCGCCACCACTGCATGGACATTTCATGAATAAACCTTAATGCAGTTGTTCTGGCACTTTACAAATGTATGTCACTTGTTTTCATTTTTCCCCCCCAGAATCCTTTCTCTTTTGATGATTTCTCTGCATTTGTCACTTTTGTCTTTTCAAGCATGAATAAAGCAAAATAAGTAGAAACTATTTTTGTGGTCAGCCAAGACGCTGCCAATAGAGAGAAGCCTATATCTTCTGTTTGGAATGTTCTGACGAAATTGCCATCACCAACATTAATACTCTCTTACTGACATTTTTAAACAAGCACAAAGAATATTTGTAAAAACAAAATTTAATTTTATTATTTATTATAGTAATAAACTATTTTATACATTACCATGCCTTTCCTCAGCAGTGTGTGCTTTCCTGTTTGGATAAATGACTGCATTTGTACTGTTTCTCTCCAAAGGCTGAGTGGATGAGATGGGGAACAATTGTGCGCCATGGCCTTTGAGGTTTGCTTTCAGTTTTAAGAAAGGCACTTCTTATGACACCTCTGTGATTTATCAACAATGATTGCTCAGCAGGCCAGAGCTGAGAGGTTTAGAAGTCCCCTTTCCAGGCAGAGTTCAAGGCCCTCTGAGTTTTAGATTTGATTACAATAGTCTTTGGGAATGTTCTTACTTGAAGTGCAGTTTTCTTTTCCTACTTACCTGACTGTGAGCACAGCAATTGTTTATGTAAACATTTAGGGCAGTGACTTTTCCCAGAAGCTTTAGGAGAAATAGAAAATTGGGCATCTCCTATATGAAAACATGAAGAAACATGAAATATGTAGAGAAATGAAATGTATGAGTAATGCTGTCCTTGGTAATGTTTCTGAAAGTTTTACTAGAACCAAACATCAAAGGGGACCCACAAAATAACATAGTGAGAAAGGTTAAAATAGGTTAGCATAATTAGTTAATTGCAAACTCAAATGGTAATCAGTTGGCCATATTTATTTATAAAATGCCATCACAGTTTATGCTGAGGTGTCATTTAGAAATCACACAAGTTTAATTAGGTGATGCAAAATACTTTAGGGAATCATCATGCAGCTGTCCATCACAAAGCTGCTTGCTCCTAGTTGCACTACTTACACAATATTACCAAAATAAGACATTATTATACTATATGGAATTTTGTTCAGAAAAGATCATAGATCTTTGACAACTGGAACTGAGATGTTAGAAAGAAAAGAAGTCATTCATTTATATAGGAAAAATTATCCTTGAATTTATGAAATCCAGATGATGAGGAACCAAGAAGAAGCAGACTGCATTCACAACTTCAGAAGAATATTTATAAAAGAAGGTAAGTCCAATCACATGGTTTAACATTCTTTTTTTTAGATAATTTTTATTCAAAGTCTTAAAAGTAATAAGAACTAATATAAATTAAACAGAACAGATAAAATGAACAAGAAAAAAGCTGAAAGTACAATAAAAGAAAAGCAGAAGAAAATAGGAGAAAGATATAAAGAAAAATATAAAAATACAAATAAGTAGCTTCTTTACAATTATAAATTTACCTCTTACTCTTACGTACTCTGGGGGTACGAGGCGATATTCCAGGGGGTGCGAAAACTTGGGTTTAGAAGCTTCAAAATGATAGTGTATGTGCATAATCAGGTATTACTTTTATAAGTGGTGCAAGAATATATCAGAAACGTTCTAGGGGTACGGGGTATAGAAAGGTTGGGAACTGCTGCTCTATGGTTACAACATAACTCTCTTCTTTCTATAATCTATCCTGTCTAATCATCAAAGCCATAAACTAGCTCATTTTTTATTTTTACACACAAAGGGGATTTCAATTACCAATAAATGTACATATTGTCCTTTCTCTAATAGGTTTGGTTATCAAAAATAAGTTTGTCCATCTTAGCAACCTCTATGAATTTCACCACCTATTCCTTCATGCTGCATCTTTCTATCTTTGTGCATATAGTAATCCTACCAGAGAAGTCTTCATGACTTTTTTCTAACTGTTTATCCATCAATCCTAAAATGGAAAGTTCTGGATTTAATTGAACATTAATCTTAAAATCCTCTGTAACAATGTATGTATATTTAGCTTTTTTGCATGCCCAACAAGGTTATCCTGGCTTAAAATTCTTCTGGAGAAGTTCAGGAAAGCTCGGAAATTCTATGAAATGGGATACTGAAGATGCAGTCACAAACAATTCCTCTTAGGAAAGAAATAAAAAAAAAAACAGAAAAGATCTAGAGGCCAGCATAAATATATACAGAGCTCTCTAAAACACTGAAAATAAACTTGTATCAGAAATGGAAACAATTACAAGGTATTCTTCAGGAATTCAGAAATCATGGAAGCTCCATCACTGGAGGTTTTTAAGAAGAGACTGGACAGTCACTTGTCTGAGATGGTATAGGTTCTCCTGCTTGAGCAAGGGGTGGACTAGAAGACCTCCAAGGTCCCTTACAGCTACTCTACTCTACTCTACTCTTCTATTCTATTCTATTCTATTCTATTCTCCAGAAATTAGGAACGTTTCCATGTTCCTGCCTCCAAAATATTAAAACTCAGAATAAGTAGATGCTTCAAGAAATATCAGTAATATCAAAACAACACAAAACAGTACATTAAAATAGCATTAAAATAGCATGGAAGACAAACGGAATGTAAGTCCATTGCAAAGAGAAAATGCTGAAATGATCATGTGTGAGGGTGAGAAGACAGAACTTCTTAATGCTTTTTTAAATTCCTTTTCTTAGGAGGGAAATGGAGATTAGCCACTGGTTATGCTCCAAGGGAAAGGATAAATGTATAACTATGCATTTTATTTTATTTTATTCTTTATTTCTTCTTTTATCACTTCGGTGTTAAGGAAATTTTATTTTATACATTTAAATATATATTTTTTTCTGAGAAAGGAAAGGTTCATAAACATCTCCTCTTCCCTTCCCTTCC